GGGGGTGACAGGCTGCACATACTAAGGTAAGGTAACCTTACCTCACGAGGCCAGCTTCCTGATTGGCCAGCTTCCCGACCAATTAGGAAGCCAGGCAGCACGTCATTACACGCTGCCCGGCTTCCTGATTGGCTGGGAAGTCGGCTCCATGCTCTCTCATCACAAGTGACGAGAGAGCATGGAGCCGCTTCCCGGCCAATCGGGAAACCGGGCAGCGTGTAATGATGCGCTGCCCGGCTTCCTTATACCGGAAGTACTCATGCTAGGGATCGGAGCATTTGGGCGAGTATGAGTACTCGCCCAAATACTCGAAATCGGCACCGATATCAATACTAGTATCGGTGCATCCCTAGTTGTAACCATTCCCTACTCTATAAACAAAAAAATCCTTTGGGAGAAAATCATAAAACCTATTTACTTTTTCCTCAGGGTTTAGGCAGGCTTGTCTATGTGAAATACATCAGTAGGTCTTCCTGTGGGATCCTGGGAAAGTTCGAGAACTCGAATCCCACAAGAACACATTCCCGAAGCATCCTTTTATAAAAATGTGGATATTGACCTTTCGTAAGATCTCCCTGTGAGGCCCAGTGATGTCAGCAACAGGAAGTGGACAGAACCTTGCAGTGAGATAAGTGCATTTTCTTTCAATTTGTACGTGTATATTGATTGGAGGGAGATCAGCACACTTCCAGCGGCTGATCTCCCCTTCAATCACTGAAAGTGGAAGTGATGTAATTCAGTTTTCAGCGTGTAATTTCTCCGGTTGCTGTAGCAGATCTCTGCTTCATCAGCTTCTTTGGGGTCCCTAGGTGATATTAGGAGTCTAATAGACCCCTGATGTTTCATAAAGGGGACCTGTCACTGTATCTGTTTTATCACATAAGGGGGGCTTGATAGCCCCTATGTTATAGCAATAAAGATAAGTGTAGAAAACAAAACTAATTGTATAGCATTTACAACACAGGTTGTGGAGGGGTTTTTTAGTTATTTAGCTATGCAGATATCCTTCGTGGTCTGGTTATAATGTACATCCACTTACCTAGGGATCAAGAATCACGATGTGACCTAACTCAAGGGGGACAGGAACACTCTAGTCTCCCCCCGATAATATACGGCGGAGCCACAGACGCACATAGAGAGGCCAATGGAGTTCCAAAAGATCTCTGCCTTTTGGCTAAGATCAAGTGTAGTATCTGTTCATATCAGTCTTCAGGGAAGAAAGGCATTGAGCCAACTGACGGGCAGGATGCTCGGTATCCCCTGATGTGATTGGTGGGTACTGGAGGGGCCTCCTTTCCTCCTGGGTTGATTCTGGTCCGGTTATGCCGAGCTTGTCCCCAGTTGTAGGCAGGAGGCTCTCAAGGTGCTAATGCCTCCTGAGAGAATGGATACGAAGCTTGGTCTGGCTGGAGGGTTGGGGGCGGCAGAAGCCCGTGGTGTTGTGCCCCCTGGGGGTGGCGCCCCAGGGGTGCTCAGGAAGTCACTTGGGTGTGGGACCCCACATTGACTCACTGATCACTTGGTCACATACCACCTTGTATTTTTCTGCACAACGCCTCTTGGACAGGCCTTATGGCTAGTCCGGGGCAATATTTTTGCACTCCGGCCCCTAAGGCCTGTCAGCGTGGTGCACTGGCACTTTAGATTTATTTATGCACTCTATGCACGTTTGATACTTTTTTATTTTTAAATTTGACCCACAGATGCTGATGGTGCAGGTTTCTTCGGGGCCTATTCCTGACGCTGGGAGGAGATTCTGTGCCTCCTACGGGGTTCTCTGTCTCCTCCCACCCAGGAAGGGGGTCTCTCTTCGGGAGAGCCCCCTTGCCTAGTACTGTGAGGGACCTGCTGCGGCAGGTCCCCGAAGGAAATGGTTCCACCGGCCTTCGGATTGGTGGACCAACAGTCTCAACCCCCTGTCAGGAGTCTTGCGCCCCGGGGGGCCGGGAAAGTAGGTCCCTTCTTTCGAAGGACCTTGCACCCTTGTGCACGTTTTTGTGTGCTGTGATTTCACGGTTCACTTTTTTTGTTCACAGGGGGAAGTTTTGATGCACGTCCACGGGCTTCGAAAAAAACTGTGAAGAACCCCCCTGCGCCCTGTGTGGTGAAATTTTTTTTCCACCAATTTTTGGTTGTGCCCTCTGGTCTTTGTTACGGAGCTGACCGTAAACAGTTTGTTACTAAGGTTGCTGTCACCCTTGAATAGTTTATACATGAAAATCATGTCCCCCCTTAATCTCCTAACCTCCAACGAGAACATATTTCATTTTAATAACCTTTCATAGTTCAGATTCTCAAACCCCTTGATGAGTTTGGTTGCCCTCTTCTGGACTTTTTCCAGCTCAAGGACATCCTTTCTGAGTATTGGCGACCAAAACTGGACCGCATACTCCAGATGTGGCCGAACCAGTGATCTATAAAGTGGCAAAATTATAGACTTGTCCCTGCAATACATTCCCTTCTTAATACAAGACAGGACTTTGCTAGCTTAGTTTACAGCAGTCTGGCACTGCAAGCTATTCTTCAGTCTATAATGACCCCCAAATCCATCTCCGTTTCCGACTTCCCTAGTGGCACACCCATAAGTGTATAGTCCATTTGCCTATTTTTAACTCCAAGGTGTATTACCGCACATTTATTGACATTACCGTACATTTATGTAGTATTTAGTAAGATTAAATACCACAAAAAGAAAGCTCTATCTGTGCCAAAAAATGGTATAACATTTATTTTGGTACAGCGTTGCATGACTGAACAAATGACAGTCAAAGTACTGCAGTGCTGAATACTGAAAAATGGCCTGGACAGGAAGGGGGTGTAAACACCCCGTTCATAAAGTGGCTAAACAAGCATGTGTGAACAAATATCAGCACCAGGATAAGATTAGCAGAAGGAAACAATAAGTCTCTAATTCAATATTTGAACAGCTTTAGGGGCAATCCATCTTGTTTTCCTATAGGGTACTGATCAATTTCTATTGCAAAAAGACTTGATAAATCATGTTATTACCTGTCATAAAAGTGACTACTCCCATCATAAAAGCTTTTGACTGACATGATGCATATCCTGATAAGCCCTGGAAAAAAAAAAATTTCAGTAAACATTTTGATGACTTTGTGTGCTGCAAATGAAGTATTCACCAGTAAGTGGTATTCCCATGCTATTAAAATAAAGCCCAATTTCAGCCAAATCACCTTTTTGGTTAAAAGCTGTCAGGTTTGTATTCCTGTCCTTGACCCCTAGGGGAATTGTCCCTTTCTTCTGGGTCACTGTGACAACCATACAAGAAATGGGGGACACATTTATCACCAGAACAGGAATAAAAACCTCAGAAATTCTAACCTTAAAGCCGACCTTCTTGCACAAAATTAATTTCCTCTTACCGGCTTACTTCCCTCTCCCTGTTAATCACATCCGTTTTTATTAATAGCCCAAGTTCCTTTTCTTGTGGTACTTTCTCCCACTTCATCTTTCCTGGCCTAGGCAAGAATGACTTGGCTCTCAGCATCTGCAGTCTCCTGAGATAGATTACAGGACAATCTCCCCGCAGGCTGCCAATCTCACGCATGTGCAGCTACACTACATCAGGGGGCTTGCTATGAGCATCAGGGAGGCGACAGCCAGCTACCATATGCAAGATGACAACATGGAAGAACAGAGACCCCACTGAACAATCGGTTGCAAGGAAGACAGTGCTTCACTTCATGGGCATACCTTTTTTTTTTTTTTTTTTTTTAAAGATGCTTTTTATTGGTTTTTATCAATTGTTATACAACTTATGCACAAATGACAACAACAAAAAATGGAAATAAGAAAACAATAAAATAAAACCAGACAACCGGGTTAACATAACCCAGAGGCAATTGTCTCACAGTTGTCATATAACATACATGTTATGCTTACAAACTCCAGAGCAGAGGAAATGGGCTATATGTAAAATACAGATTCAGATTCAGTACAAAGGGATTATTTGGCATATTAATTTCCTGCGATACATTTCAGGGAATGTGAGGGACGTCAGGAGCTCCAGTACAACACAAAGCAGTGAGGTATTTTAAGTAAAATCTACAGATGTATGGGAAGAGAGCCAGGGGCCCCAAATGCGATCAAAGAGGAGCGGTCTGCCCCGCTGCTCATTTGTGAGTTTATAGAGGGGTAGTGCCTGATCAACCAACCTTTTCCAGTCACCCAGGGAGGGAACCTTAGGGCTACCCCACACCAGGAGAATAGCCTTTTTGGCATAAAATAAAAGCAGGCAGAGTAGTGTCTGAGCCCCCGAGGCCAACGGCAGCTCATCAAATAGACCAAACAGGCAGAATGCAGGATTACATATGTTAGGAAAACCCAGGCTAGCTTCCATGAAGGAAGTAACCTCAGACCAAAAGGTGTGTGGACATGCCTAGAAGGAGTGGAGGAAATCAGCCTCACGACCACAGCGCTTGAAACAACTTGGGTTGGATCGAAGGCCCATTGTATACAATAGAGGAGTGTAGTATACTTGATTCAAAAATGTAATCTGCAACAGCCTATCACTAGAGGCTATTACTGAGGACATGTATCCATCACCAAAGTCACTCCAATCGTCCTACTCCAGCTCTGGGAGAAGTGACCGCCACTTCTGTCTACGGCTGTCAAATCTACCAGACCTGTGGGACATAAAGGTGCCCATACACCTTACGATTATCGTACGATAATCGTATGCGATCGACTTTTCGTACGACAATCGTAACGTGTGAATAGAGTGCCCGACCGATAGTACTGTACAATCGTACGACTTTTGACGGTCAAGCATGTTTGAAAACTTTGGTCGATCGTACAATGTTCGCATGGTTGGTGGCGTTTCCGTCCGTCAAAAGTCGTACGATTAACACTGCGCATGCGCAAACGAAAATAATTGCGGTCAATTACCACAAGTCGTCCAGGTGTTTTTTTTAACTACCGCTAATTGAACCTTGCGATAATCGGGGCAGGATGGGGGCGTCATACGAAAATCGTACGACGGTTCGATCATCGGACGAAAAGTTTCGTCCGATAATCGTAAGGTGTATGGGCACCTTTAGACTGGGTGAAGTTCCTCTTTAGCCCTCGTTCACACCTGAACGTTTTGTAGCGCGTTCTACGCTCGACGAACGCTCTACAAAACTCTAAAAAATATAAATCCCATTGTATTCAATGGTCTCGTTCCCACCTTGGCGTATTTCCGCCCATCCCTAACGCGCTACAAAACGGCCCACGCCTGAACCGGTACATGTACTACTTTGGGCTGTTTTGTTGCGCGTTTCCATTGGGATACAGCCAAGTAGCCTTCGGAAACGCGCAATTGTCGCGCGACTTTTTTCCCGCGGTAAAAAAACCGCGCGACAGACGCGCATGTGCAATACGCCCAGGTGTGAACGAGACCTAAATGTGGTTCTCTTTTTAAATTGCTTTCGTGCTTTTGTTATCCTGTTGGCTCTACAATAGGGGCACAGATGTCAATAAAGACCTAATAGAGGTTCTAAAACTTCCCTACTCCATCCAAAAAGAAATAAAATGTTCTGGCTGCAGCTTGAAGTCACCCTGTCACTAGTTGGCAAAAGTTATGGAAGAATAATGTTGTAAATGAAAAGCAGGAACACGTAACTTTCTGGTTCTGTCTTCATGAGCTATGGGCTTGGTTGCTACCGAACGCCTATGATTGTGTCCCCCGGAGCACACTGTGGTTCCATGGCTGACCCCTACATCAGTACAGAGGATAGGGGTTGGCTGGAGGGATCATAGCACATAGCGGGGGACACGCTATCAGACACACCCGCAAGTGTCGGAAAGCAGCGCCAGCTGTAGCTCATGAGCAAAGGGACATATGAGTAGAACTGGATGCAGACAGTTTGCATCCAGGACAGCTCATCCATCCCTGTGACCACTCAGATGTGTGTATATAAGCATGCAGCCATGGCGTCTGTCAGCCTGTCATTGATTTGCACAGAATGCTACCCGCAAGCACTTGTAACGCCTGAGGGTAAAGCTACCCTCCTTCATGATGCAGTAAGCCCTTTGTGGCTCTGTGAATGAGGCCTGCTTTCTATTTTCTTTTTTTTATTCTTTAATTATTTCTTTTTTGAAACAGAAAGGGATTGAGGACACCCCGTCCTCAATCTCTTTCTTGTCTGCAACCTGGCATGTACTAATGAACACAGAAGTGCTTACTACAGAGCACTTCTGTGTTCACTCTCGTACTGAAGTGATAGTAAACATGTGTTCCATGTTTACTATCACTTCAGTTATGCATGAACACGGATGTGCTCTGTACTGAGCATTTCTGTGTTCATTTACGAAAGTGCAGGGGGACAGTAAAAGATAAGGTTCACCTAGGTGGCCAGATAGAAGAGTTTCTGTTTCAACATAAGTCTTACGTCCTTAGGAACAAAAGGGTTAAACTAATGACAGCTCTTCTGTCAATCTTATGACTCAACATTCCAACAACATGCCTGTAAATTCCCTCATCCACCCAAACCCATGAGCATTTGTTCTGATATGTGGGAGGTCAAATTCCAGAGAATACACTCATCAGCAAGAACATGTGACTCTGGCCTCTACAATGGACTACATGTCCCAACAAATCCACCCAGCTTGTCATGGCTAATATCACCACCCCACAGCTTTAAATGCTGCTCGCACTCCACTGTTAAGGGATATACAAGATCACTTTCACAGAAATATTTCTACATTTTCATTTTTTTTTATTCTCCATAGTTATCTATACTGTAATTGCAAATGTTTTACTAAATTTGGTCCATGTTGGGACTCGTAGTGCCACAGAATCCAGCAAGGATTAGGTCCTTATAAACTTGCCATACGTGTCCTCAGAGAGCACACCCATACCACCCACCGGATGCTTAGCTGCCAGCTCATCGTCCACTCTGGACAAGCCCAGGTTCACCATTGAGAAGTGGCTCTTCGCTATATCTCTCCTTCTGGTGTCCGAACACCGGCGGAAAAACTCTTCCGGGTTTCGTTTTCATGTGACGTCAGTGAGCAGCGCCACCTGCAGGAAAGGAGGACTATACTGTCAGGTAATAGTGACTCAGGATAAGCACTGCGATGATGTGTCCAGAAAGTTCTGTACTCAGTAAATGTAGTTCAACTTCTTTTATAAACATAACAAAATAAAATGTTAATAAAGAATGCAATCTGAAATGTAGATTAAGAGGTCACTTGTTTCTATATACACACACCATATCTGGGCACATCGAGATTCAAGACCAGTCTTTGCACAATACATGATGTTATTGTTCTCTTAAACATATGCTAACTCTTCCCTACTCTTTCCAAAACAAGAAACACACACTTTGGCTGACGTAATGCCCCATTCACACCTATAACTTTAGGAGCAATTAGGGATTCCTGCATCAGGAACTTGCGTTTTCTTGCAGCAGGAATCCCTAATCTACAGTTTACAAGCGTCAATCGTGTGTCAAGGGAGAGTGATTGATTCCTAACCGCTTGTAATCGCATCAAATATGATTACATGCGGTGTGCCTGTGTTACAATGCAGTGACTGACCCCCTGTCATTAACTTGAACGGGTGACAGCTGCAGCTTGTAAATGGCAGATTAGGGATTGCTGCTGCAGGAAAACACAAGTTCTTGACACAGGAATCCCTAATGGCACCCAAGGCCGCCATGAGAAATCATGGGGCCTCATACAGCCTACATGGCTAGCCCCCCATGGCTAGAATGGCACCGGCTGTATGGGGACTACAAATCCCAGCAATACATTATACAGCAGTGCAGAACAGTATATGAATTGGATTCAGGACTTGTCAATGCACTGGACTCAGGACTTCATAACGCACTGAACTCTGCACTTAGTAATGCACTGGACTCTGGACTTAGTAACGCACTCTACTCTGGGTTAAGTAACGCACTGGACTCAGGACTTAGTAACGCTCTGGACTCAGGACTTAGTAACGCACTGCACTCTGGACTTACCTGAGGCCCCACACAGCCCACCTGAGTGACCCTACAGACCCCACCATGGATTCTGCATAGTCCAACTGAGACTCTCCATGGTGGGCTCTGCAGGGTCTCAGGTGGGCTGGTTGGGGTCCCTTTCAATGCACACGCACCTCCTTACCTGCCATTGCTGGGCCATGGCCTCCTCCGCCGCCGGACACACCGGACCATCGCTGCTGGGCCCGGCCTCCCCTGCCACCAGACTGGCGCTGCTAAGCTCACGGGCTCCTCCACCTCCTCCCCTGCCAGCCTTGGTCAGGTCAGTCAGTCCTCCCCTAGTAGGGGACCGGGCCCCCCAGGCTCCTTACATGGGTATCGTCCATACCCCCCTGATGGCACATAAAGATATACTGTAGGTGTGAATGGGGCCATAGGCTTTGGTACAGTAGATGGAAACGTTGTAGTTCACCTGAAAATTGTAGTCAAAGCTTGTCAAGTTTGGAGGGCGCTGCAGATTTCTGAAGGTGGTCTGGTCATGTTATTGTTCACAAGTTTAATGCTGCCTGCTAGGTCCTGTTCTGCTTTAATAGCCATCAGGGGCTGGTGCAGGAAAAGTTCTGTTTGCTTCTATGGAGAACAGAGGTTGCTATATACAATGTCTCAAGTATCTGCCAGCTTTCACTGTTCATGGTCAAGGCAGGCATAGAATTATTGTAAACAAGTTATTCCTGACATTTCAATAGCAGAATACAGATGGGTACCAGCTCCACCACTTTACCTCCACAGGACCACTCTATAGATAAAATTCACTTCACTCCCAATGCGTTCTTTTTCTGTCCTCCTATACATGGTATCCTGGAAATGGTTCCTGGACTTTCATCTTACGTCGCTGTGGTAAATCTGTGGTGGTTTATCCAGGTTATTGTCTCTCGAGTTGCGAAAGGTGTATGCTTGGGGAACCCCTTCTGGTGATCCTTTAGGAATATATGTCAATAGTCATGGTACATGCTCCATCTACTCCAGTGACTCTCTGGTTGTTCCCTGTCTGTATGGCGGCTGCTGGCTTTCTGTTGGGGGGGTGTCTGGTTTGGCAGAATTTGCATCTTATTGGTTCTTCCAACTTCAGAAGCTGCAACAAAATTTCTAGAGGGTTATGTTTAGAGATCCATACTCGGAAAAGCTTTTGGATAGCCTATAGGTCTGTAAAACCCAAATTCATTTTTATTTTTTAAAACTATTTCCCTACACTTTTTAATATTATAAAAAAATAACTTTTACTGCAATACTCACCTTCTCTTTGGAGCTGTCCCCTGATTTACCTGTCTGAAATCCAGTGCCCGTCTGCTTCTATTGCCTTCTGAGCATTGTTCAATGCAGAACTGCTCACCACCAGAAGAAGAGGATACATTGCTTTATATGACGATGCAGATGACTCCAGGAAGTATGCATTCAATTCTTTTTTAATAAATGCTTTGGTGGGGGTTTGGGCGGATTTAGGAAGATGGACTTCGGCTTTAGGCAGGCAATAATGCACCAGATGTGTGTTGGTGCACTGCAGTGCCATTCATTTTCAATGGCATCCCAATGCACCTTTGCAATGCACATTATTGCTCTACCACACATTGCAGTCCACTGCATCGGGGGAAAATAGGTGCAGGTACATTTTTCTGTCCATTGTGATACATTGGCAGTCCTTTTGGAATAATAAAAAAAAAACATAATTGCCTAATTTATTTTATCTTGAACAATTTATTATAATCCAAGACAAAGCAAAACCCTGCTCACATTCTGAATCTGGCTTCTTAACTCGTCTGTGTCCCAGGTGCAGGCAACAAGCGCGTTTCCACTTCAAGATCTTTCCTGGATAATAAAAGTCTTTATTCATGAAGAAAAAAGCACACATTGTCCATGACTCTCGATCCTCAACCTCTAATGCATTTCACCATTAGGCTTAATCACAGATAGATATCATAGATCTCTGTGATTAAGCCTAAATGGTGAAATGCATTAGCGATGGAGGACTGAGGGGGGGCGGGGTGGGGGGAGTCACGGACAGTGTGTGCATTTTGCTTTGTGAATAAAGACTTGTATTTTCAGGTAAAGATCTTGTGGAGTGCGACATCTTTGAACTTTTATTGAACAACTTATTATCACTAGTTTGGCACCATCTGGTAAGATCCCTATGTTCCTGAGTCTTCACATCTACTGTGCCCATTATGAGGGTTTTCCACTCTCCTGGCTGGATTTTATATTTAATTTGAAAAAAGATGTGTAAGAATTTTTGGGGAAATCAGTCCTCTGAAACATGGTTTATGTCACTTCCTATGAGACGCCAGGCAAGCTTTCCATCCATAGCATGTGCTCTAACTCCATGTGTCCAGTGAGGGGAAAAATGGCTCGGCTATATTGCCAAGCATTTCCATTTCAAAGGTAGGCGATGAATTAGTCACTGGTTTATTGCTGTTAGAAAAAAACAAACCGAATTGCTTCATGTACCGAGATTTGTGCAACTTATTACAAAATGGCATATAGACTGGGAATACTTTCAACTGTGTTCCGTTAAAGAGTCTTGGGGATTCTATTGGTGAGATCTCTGCCCTGTGTTTTTGGGTCTGCACAGCACAGCCCATATGAGAAGCTCCCACTCTCCCGGCTGCAGTTTATATTTACTTTATATTATGAAGAATGTAATAGGAAGAGACAGAACTTCCTGCAACTCCCAGGTGGACATGAACAGAGCCTGGAATCATGGCAGGTAGATCTCACTGTTAGAGTATCCAAGACATATCCATAGACCGGGGTGCCTCAGCCTAGCAGACTATACCTATAACTAAATATATATAATTTGCTGAAGATATAAAAAAATATTGAGGAAATCATTCCTCTATAACAGGGGTGCCCATTAGGTAGATCGCGATCTACCAGTAGATCGCAAAGCGAACACTGGTAGATCGCGATCGGCTCACTGACTTGTGTCCTGTCCTACCCCGGTGCTCGTGTGGCTGAATGTGTCAGATGCCGCAGACAGTAAGGAGAGAGGAAAGGAGACTTGGGAAGCTGCTGCAGTGGAGGTAAGAAAAGACAGATAGGGGAGAGACAGCAGGGAAAGTGAGAGAAGAGACAGCAGAGAGAAGAAAGTGAGAGCAGAGAGAGAGAAGAGACAGCAGATAGAAACGGGAGAGGAGAGAGCCGGTTCACACCACAAAGTCTGCATTCCAGAGTGTTCACTATAACATGGCTTACGTCACTTCCTATGAGACGCGAGGCGAGCTTCCCTTCCATAGCATGTGCTCTGACTCCACGTGCGGATAAAAAGAATGACTTGGATATATTCCCGAGTGTTTCCATATGAAAGGTAAGCAGGGAATGTGTCACTGGTTTATTTTGTGCAATCTGTGCAATCTGTTATTACAAAACCGCATATAGACTTGGAATGCTTTCAACTGTGTTCCGATGAAGAACCTTAGCCGCGTTCCTATGTTTAAAAAGATTTGTTGCACAATTCCTAATTTTACAGTTATATTAAAAGAACGAGGCTTCCCAAATGTGATATTTCAGTGTTTGGTAGGTGCTGGAGACTTAAACCTCGCAACAGTCTTGGGGATTCTATTGGTGAGATCTCTGTGCTGAGTTCTTGCTGCTGTGACCATTATGAGGAGCTACCACTCACCCGGCTGGATTTTATGTTTACTTTATATTATGAAGAATGTAATAGAAGTAGCTGAAACACACAAAGGTAGGCAGTAACCCACATGACTCCCAAGTGGACAGGAACAGAAATTATAGCTCGGCTTCTTATGGAAATTGGGATCTCTATGATCAAGTAAATAAGACACATAAGAAGTCAGGGGCTGACTCAGTCCACCAGGCTCAACTTATGTCTTAAAGTGTTGTAGCGCTCACCCCCGAAGGAACCGCTCAATATGAAATAGGGTTCTCCTACCTGTTTCAACAGGAGAGAGGGTTTGGGATCTGTAGGATGCCCTGGCAATTCTTCAGATGACTGCTTTCTCCCCTAGCAACAGCTAAAGTCAATAGCACGGTGGT